ATTGTAAAGTGCACGAATTCCATTTCTTCTTTTTGTATTCAGTAATACGCAATATAATCAATGTTTTCGAATCATTCATTTAATTTAATCATGTATCAAATTTCAGTGATCCAGCCTCATACAGTCCACACCAATTCTCACTATCACCAGCGCAATAAAATTCAATTACAGATCAATAGGTAATATTTGTCTCTCACCAAATTACCATGATCAAACAATCTTAATTATATGAGAAACATCATACTAGTTTATCGTACGGATCATAACTCCCCGGTGATGTGTCCAGCGATGTTGACTTAATTGCTTTTTTTGCGGAACGGACATCGATGGACTTCAGATTCGGCATCGGAGAGCAATTTTCGTAATCTTCTTGTTTGCAGAGATTTCTGTTTTCAAAGAGACTTCTGAAGTGGCCTTCAATCTCGGCTACCTTCGGTCGGTAATGTTTAGGAGCGTTGGTGTTCATTATATCTTGAACTACTTTTGTTCTCCTATTATAATAGTTATATTGAACCATCTCGTATTGGTATAGCTCCTGTCGACGACTCCTATCTGCCTTGTTAGCCCTCTGTGGATTCGACTCTTTTTCAGCACCCTTACCTGCCGTATCAGTCTTATTTTTCCTTCTTAACTTATAAAATTTATGGGCAGGGTGCGCTGGACCAGGCAATGCATTATTTGTATTTTTCATAAATTTTAAAAAATTGCTTACTGCTTCGTCGAATCAGTCTACCTTATCTATATTATTATGCTGAAGGAAGTCCTGGAAGATAGCCAACCACCTGGTTATTTCTTGTTTTATACTATTCTCCTCACTCTCTCTATTTTCATTTCTTGTTCTATTGTTAAGTAGGCCCCTTAGTCTGTCGCTATTAGTCTCCCTGGGATATTTCTTCGCTATATGGGTTCTGAGACTTCTATCCCCTTTGAAACTTAGCCCATAAATCGGACACACTTTGTTGTCGATCACTGAAGACCAGTCTTGTTTCCTTTCTTTTATTACCACTACTAGGGTCTCCGGACGTCTACGGCAAATTGGACAAACTCGGAAATACACCGGAAAAAAAATAATAATAAAAGAATTTGGTAACAAAGCAATAAGATTTAGAGCAGCAGACCCTTGACGTTTCTCGAGCACGACCAGCAAGTAGACGGATACCAGATTGTCAGCCGAAAATATCTAGGTCCTGTGGTTGATCGATGTAGATCACAGGATGGCCATCTTCTTTTCTGTATCGAACCATACCGCCTACGAACCACATGTATTTTATGAGAAGGAGTTAATTGGGGGGTGCGGTCAAATAAATACTAAATTAAAATGTAGTATTTATTTAATTTTTGCCAACGTTTCGACCCACTTTGCAGCCCTGTTTTGCAGCACTTTTGTAGCCCTGAAGACGACCTGCAAAGTGGGTCGAAACGTCGGCAAAAATTAAATAAATACTATATTTTAATTTAGTATTTATTTGACCGCACCCCCCAATTAACTCCTTCTCATATTATATCAACGGTCAACCATCTCTACATCACATGTATTTTAATTTACCTGCTGATGTTTTTTGACGGACTAGCCAGTACAGACTCTATTCGTAAGGGTCATTCCTTCACCGAGATAAATCCGGTGGTAGTCGTTTTCTAGCCAGCCAATATCCCGAATAGAAAAGTCCCATTTCACCTTTCTTCTTTGCACCTTCGTCCCTTACCGACTGCCTCACCAAAAAGAGCGATCACGGTTAATAATAACTCGATAACGAGAGGTCTGCAAAGTAATTGCAGCATTTGCCGAGAAAAAGTACGCGGCGTTTACTACAGCACAAAATTACATTTGTCAACTGTAGAGATAGGGCCGTCATAAGTTTACTCGAAAGGCGTGTTGATGACGTATAGTGCTCCCTATCTCAAAGGAATTAGGTACCTCTCTTCGGTCTGTAGCAAGTAGTTCTCGTACTTTCTTCCATGCATTTATTTGAAACGAAGAAATGAGAGATGTGGCTACTTTATAAATACTTTTTTAAGAAATAAATATAAAAAGTTTACGTAATAATAAAATGTACGCAAATAAATGAAAGGGAATCACGAGAACTATGTGCACTGGCCAGAATTTCTCTTGTATATGCGAACACTTATTTTCCTGTTTCCCTTGATACTCCTATAGCTTCAATTCGCATCAAATTTGAAGAGAATTTAGGAATTGATAAATAAATGATCTAGTAGAAATCAATTTCATCATCATATTTTATCCAATACTTTAAAAAAATACTTCCGCTTTCGGATCTGCAAACTTGGTGTTTTTTATTCGCCCATAGTTTGAAAATGGTTCGTTCTATTTGATCCAGAGTTAGAGAAAATTTGGAGAATAGTGTACAAATTACCTATTATAAATTTCATTAAAATCTATTTAGCAATTGAAATTAATATAAGTAAAAAAAAAAATGTAATGGTTGTGAAATGTATAAGGCATTGAATTTGTTCAAACATTTAATTTAAATTGTATTGTGTTGTCTGTTTCTGTTGAATTTCAACCAGGTTTTTTGTAAACGTCAGTCATATTCTTATATCCCACGTTAAATCAGTTTTGTTCACTCCGAACAAACGAATAATCGAATTTTTTTAATAGATTTTGTTCTAAACATATTATGATTGAAAACTTACAGATTAGGTACTATGTGTTCATACATATTTACTGGGAATTGTTTATTATCACGAAGAGTCAAACACGCAACTCGCAAATTTGTAACTCTTTCGCTTTTTCGTTTTCACTGATGATCAAAACGGGATATCAAATCCACGAATGTCCGAGATTACTGTGATTATTTATCGAATACGGCTTTCCCAAAGATTTAATTAATAAACGAAAAATTATTAACCTTGAGGTCTAGGTAAATGTGGAATAGAGATCGACATCGATCAAGATATCGAATTTCAGGCCGATACTCATATTACAAAGGTCGATATATTTTTCCGTTTTCTATAAGGTTTGTATCGTTTCACATAGAATATCCTACTCATTGCTAAATAAAAGAATAAATAGACCGTATACACATCGCCTTATTCACAAATTTTGACCAATACAACAGAAAAAAACAACAACCATATTTTAGCATATCGGCCTTTCGTTCTTACATTTCTAGTTTCGTACAATGTCTCATAGAAAATTCTCGTAATTACTGAATAAAAGTATCAATCAATCATCTAGGGGTAGATCTATTTATACATTTCCGTCGATACGAATATTCTAAAAGCTGATATATATATATATATATATATATATATATATATACAAATAAACCAATATTCTAAAGACCTATATATCGTCCTTACGGACTTATTTTATCGATATTCATAAAGTTTAATTAGGAATATTATTTTTATTGCCGATATATCGGCCTTATGACCTTATCTTATTAAGATTGGTAGTTTTTTTTTTTTTTTTTTTTTTTTGTGAACATCTTCAAATTTTTTTGGTTATCTCCTTGAACCAATATATCGGCCTCTTTTACTTTGAATATTATTTTCATTGCTAACAAATGTGACAATCATTCGTCAAGCGGTCAACATAAACATATATTTAAGCAAAAACCAATATATCGGCGTTGGATATCGGCTGATACCTTCTGGCCCTGGAACCAGTGAAAATGGTGAGGAAGCTATAGTTGCCTCACTTGGCAGACATTTTCTCTTAATTTTGTAAACATAGTTTAAATACCACACATTTCAATTTTATTTTTCTTTCTTTTGTAGAAAATATACATAATTTAGTTGATTTTGTTATAGATTTATGCATAGTTTTTTTTTGTAAATATTTAATTTAAGATATAACAATAAGATATTCAGAATCAATAATTAACTGTGAATACAGATAATGTCAGTCATTATCAGGGAGTTTGGAATTCCAAACAATAGCTGTAAAATTTGCATGCATCACACAACTTTCACTTGAGTAGTACTTTCATATAAAGGGATGTGAAAATAAAAATTAGAGGCATTACAAAATATCTATTTAAAACCATTAATTTTTGTAGATTTTTATATTTGTTAAATTTATGCATTTTTTTTCTTTTTATGACTGTATATTTTAATTATTTATTTAATTATAAAGATTCCACATATTTTTGTTTAGTCCGACAAGGGTGCTGTAAATTTTTTTTATTGTAGCGCACTGACATGTCATTTTGTGAAACATGTTTTTTTGGACTCAAAAAACCAACAGTCAATTTCAAACAATTGAAATTTTGCATGACATCAATCATTTCTCTTACAATGTATTTTATATATAGGTGAGCAAAGTAAAAAAACAAACTTAACATCTAAAAAAATTATGAATATTTATTTTAAACTTTCTGAATATAGTACAAACATAAGTGAAAAAAAAAATTATCAGAAATCTTTTCAATTTAAATTAATATGATATGGATTAACCCAAGACTTTTTTTTCTTCAGAATCTGTATCTGTATAACATTTGTAATTGTATAACATTATCAATAATAATACTAAAACCATTTAAACTTCATATTTTATAATGGTGTAGAGATGGTTGACCGTGATGATAATATGAGAAGGAACTGGTGGAGCGTGCAGTCAGATAAATACTATATATTAAAATAGTATTCATTTGACCACACCCCTGACCAACTCCTTCTCATTTCATATTTTATAGTTATGTTGAAACTTTACTATAAAAAAAATTTTACAAGACAACAATCAGGAGTGATAGTTGCTTAGAAACTTTTATTATGGTCAAAAGTTTTACTATAATACCATTCACATAATAGTTTCTTCAAATTAAAAGAGATACATTTTCTAAAAACAGCACTCTAAAACATTATTTTGTAAAAATTATTCTATCCAGAGTAGACATTTTTAGTTTTTTAATGCCCTTCCTACAAAAGAGTTAGTTTTCTCCTTACACTGTATTGAAAAAATAATACATTTAAATTTAATATAATGAACTTAGTTAATTTATTAATTTAAAATCCATTTATAACTTTTCTGTCTGCAGAGACTAACAATATTAAAGAAAGGACAAACAGTTGAGGATCAAGTTGGTCTTGAAAACACATTTAAAATACTCTGGAGTGACCATGCAGATCTAATATCAATCCAGTATTCAGGTATTAATTATGATTGAAATTCATTAAGATCTCTCAACTGAAAAATACCAAAGCTCAATTTAGATTTCTAAATAAATTATGATGTAAAGTTATTACACTTTGACCCTTTCTATTCTTGTATAAGTTACTACTAGTATGTATCCCATTTCTACTTACTAATTATTAGAATTTCTTATTTCATGAATTTTCTAGAAACTTCAGCAGACGCCTACAATGTTGGATATTGAATTAATTAATTAATGTAGGTAGAATGTGTATAAGTGAACCACAAGGTATAGTCAGAATAATTATGTCTTCTTAAGAAAGTTTGAGATTTTTCCAGCTATGTAGTATAATAATTTATTTTTCAACACATTATTCAAAGATGTTTTTTTCTAAAAAATATTTATATTTGTGGTAAATCCTTGTACTAGGCTAAGCTAGTCTACTTATGTTGAGCGAAAATGTGGAAGCTACTAAACTAAAAATAATGTTAATGGATGTTTAGGATCAGTTTTATAAATAAATTTCAACCGGCTGTCGATTTTGATTTTTCACGATTGTGTATAGATTTATTTTAACTTTTCAAATTTCTTCATTAAAATGGCCAGTTACTATGTTATTGGAGGGGTAGATTTTGAAAATACAATCGATATTTACGCTGTGTGTGTGATTGTGTATTGATTTCTTTGATATAAGGAACTTTTATTACAGAGATGAATATATAGTTGACTGTTAATAGTGTAAGAATGAAAACTAGTCTTATATTAAATTTTTAGTAATTAAGGATTCGTAGAATTACCAGTAGTTCTCATTCAATATTTTTATTGGAAAAAACAAATTATTCAATAAACCTAATCCAAGAAAATATCCCCTGAATATAAATTTATTCAATGAAAAAAATCTCTGAATAATCATTTATTCTTGCATAAATCATACAAAAGTTGCATACATTTATTAAAAAAATTAATTTACATTTAAACAAAAAAAAAAGTAAGGTTTCTTTAAGTTATGAAGAGAGCTTTTCTTGTGAAAAAAAAATTAAATTGCACAATATAGATATATTTTAAAATTGCTCCTTCCTAACTTTTTGGATTTAATCGATATTATTGTCTACTATTTTGTCGTAGTGGGTACTTTTTATGAAAATACTGTCATATCGAAGATTGGGCTATAACACAACAAGGTTTTGTAACTTTTCGGATTAATTCGATATTAGGATACACTATTATGTTGTCGGGGGGGGCACTTGGGCACAGGGGCGGAAAAAAAACATGATAAGCAATCACGCTTATAATTTATTATTCACAACTTTTAACCCTATTTTTCATTTTTCTCCAACTATTGCTACTACTTTGGTAAATAATCGTTAGACAATTGTTTACTTCTAAGGACACTGAAAATTTTCTGTATGCATTTTGGACAATTTTTTTTTTTTTCACAGTTTTTGTAGTTTAGTTAAGAGTTCATACGTCCTCAGATATATTTATAATATTCAGATAGATAAACTATATTTCTAAGTTGATTGCAAAGCTGTTGCAATTTTCCAAAGTCACAGAAAGTATGAAGTTACACCCCCTCCCCTCCCGCATCTTAATTTTTTTGTGTGCGGTTTTAATTGCTTAACTATTTCTTGAGAAATTGACTCTTAGAGGGATTATGAGAATTTATTATTATTTTTTTTAATTTTGCCAATCTGGAGACCATTTTTACAGGGTCGAAATGTATTAATTTCAAGTCTATGTTTCTTTGAAGTTCTGATAACCTTTCTAAGAACTCTAACAATTATCCCACTTAACCTTAGCTCTAAAATAGATAAAAATGGTGTTGCAGGCTCATAGTTGAAGTTAGCCCTCCTTATTTTTGAATTTCTACTTTTTATGGTTTAGTCTTAACTTTAGACAATAAAAATATTTCTACAACATTATAGGGAAATCTTAAGATGCGTACAGACTAGGCGAATCTTCATTCTACAACAGATTGGTGGACAAAGATTTTCATACCATAGATGGTTAGCAATCATTGTACCGCTTATTTTATTAATTATAATCAATATTCGTGCTCGCCAACACCTCCATTGAAGTCAGCCTTTAGACGATAAACATCAAAGAATTCGCGTTGGTTCCTAGGTTGTATTCGATTGATTTAAAGAAAATAAGTATTTTTCTTATTCAAAGAGGCCTAGATCCATGCAACGATTGTGATATCTGATATTTTTTTTGTGATACTTTTTCTTTTACGATTGTGATTTTTCTTTCCATTCGTTTCTAACCTTGCTTCCTTTTCGATCCCTGACAACCCTCCGAGGCGTCTGAAAAGAAGATGGCCTCGAGATCTCCTTTTGTAAATACGTTTTTAGAGTGCTACCAGTGGGTAGTTTCTCAACAAGTGATTTCATGCTATTATATTATTTTGTTCACATTTACTGAATGTATTTTTACTTGTAATACAGTTGTAAATATCATCAATAAATAAAAAAAAAAAAAAAAAAACTTTATGATTACGAAAAAATCACGAAATGAGACAATTCCTTCCTGAGACAAACATGCTTATGTACTTACTAAGTATGTTTTCATTCCTAAAATAGATGGAACAAAAATTCATAGAAAAAATTCAATTTTATGTTTGTCTGGTGTTAACGAAACCAATTTTTTTTCTCAGTCACATCAAAACTAATTAGAGAAAGAAAATAAGAATATGAGTGAAGTTTAAAAAGTACATAAAAATAAGATTTATACATACATAAAACTTATTGATGTCTACGTTTTACCTTTTCACAATAACTAATTCAAAAATGCATGTATGTGACCCCTTTCCATATATTGAGTGCCTACCAAATTTTGCAGCCATTATAATTTTGTTATTATCTTAACTGTTATTTATATTAATTTTAATTGTAAAATGGAATTTAATGAAATTGATATTAGACAATTTTTGCAATATTCTTCAAATCTCTCTAACTTTGTGTCTAATCAAAATAGCTGTTTTTAAGTTATAGGCATGTGTTTGCAGATCCTAAAGCTTATGTATTTTTTGAGCTAATGTAATGGATGGAATAATATTGTTACCTACTAGATCATTTGTTTATCACTCCCTTACTTTCCTTCAAATTTGAGCCAAATCAAATGTGTGTTTTGAGAAAAATACTTTTGCACATATATAAGAGGAAGTAGTTGGCGGAATTCAGTAAGATTGATATAATATCATTTTTTCACCAACACCCAACTTTGGGCCAAATCGAATGGGCCATTTCTGAAATATAGGCACGTCTAAGAAAATACATTTACGTGCTTGTATGAATTGAACGAACATGCATATGAACTTAATAAGTATGTTTCCATTCCTAAAATAGATGGAAAACATACTTATGTTTATGGAAAAATTCAATTTTATGTTTGTTTGATGTTAACGAAACCAATTTTTTTCATTAGTCACATTAAAACTTATTAGAGAAGGAATATAAGAATATAAGTAAAGTTGGAAGGGATTGGCATAATAAATTAAACACTCATTCTTGATAGTGATGTGTTTCTGAATTTGCAGGATATTGGGAACATTGTTCCTGAAAATTTAGTTTCTATCTGTTAAGTATTGTTTTCTTGCTGGTAAGCACGGTTGCATCACTACATTTTACATTTATGACAAAAAACGTTTTACTTTCCTCTTGAAGTTTTAACTTTTCTCCAAAGAGTTTTTATGGATTCAGAATGGTCCTAACTCTGCTTTTTTTTTTAAACCGAAATCCTTCCATGAGCGTTTCTTGGTCTGGCTTACAGTTACCTTACATTCATTTCTGGCAATTCAGTAAACACATACCTTTTTTTCGCTCATATCTTGAAGCCATATGAAGGTATTTAGACCAGCTTCTTCCTAGCAACTTGCCATCAAAGGTCACTGGTCCACCAGTTGGTCTGTTTTTCCCTAGCAGATATTCTCCTATTCCGATATATTGCATTTGCTACCTTCAGAATACATGACTTCAATGACTTCTAGATCTTTTCTACGTCACCATCGAAATGGCTTTTAGTTATTCAGTACTCTAGTACAATTAACTCAACTCTGATTGACCCTGTGGTCAGCACATTGCCAAAGATCATATTAGGCAGCCCTCACAAGTACTTCATCTAGTCTGTAAAACTTTTTCAACACAACTGAAAGTTTAATACTTCCAAATGTTTTCTGCATGAATTGCATTAGTATTACAGGATAACAATAATTATAATCATATTATTATTAATTATGATCATATTTCTGTTATTATATATTTTTGTTTGTTATAGGTACAGGAGCATTAAAAACGGATTATACTAGAACAGGAAAAAGAACGAAGTCCGGAATAATTCGAGATGGGATAAACTCTCTTGTGCGATACTACAAAAATAATTTTCAGCATGGTTTTCGTAAAGTATGAACTAGAAAAAAAAAACGTACTTTTTCTTATACTATATGTTATTTCAGATGATATTTTATTCTAGGATGCATTGGACCTTTGGCTTGGTCATTACCGGGTTTCTTCAGAAGAAGGAATAGTCATCAGAAGCCCTCTTGATGTTAAAAGGGAATTCAAATATACAGCTGTAAGTTAATAATAGTTAACCATTAATTGTACAATACTCTTAAATTTTTTATATTTGCTTCGGCGGATCATATACTAAGAGAAAATTAACATGGTCCCTGCACAAGGATGACACGCTAAATCATGAAACGTTTCACATTTTTGGAGGCCTGGGATTGCAGAGCGGGCTAACGCATGTGCACAGCACCACATGTTGCCTGACAATTCGGATAGAAGATTATGTGATAAAACAATACCGAGTTTGCGTCCCAGTGCCAAGGGGGTCTATTAATGCTGGCATTAACGCCTTACCCACTGGCCCGTGGAAACCCCCATATAGCCTAAAAGGCGAAGAAGGGGAGGACAAAAAAACAAATTTTAATTTTATGGTTCTGACAACTTGAACATTTCTATTAACCAAACAATCCTGGAAACCCCTGTTGCCCTGTTCGCAACTCCTGAAGTTATTCCATTGTTGTCTCATTATACTTCTGAGCTTTTTGTTTCCTCCGTTATTTTCACCTAGTTTTAATTACGATGGTATAATTTACAGTGGCCGATGGTACTCAAGGAGGTAAAGATTATCATGAACTGCTTTGTAATGTTTATTTTTAGTACCTCTAAGTGCTACTGGATTTCCTATCTTTAACTTGTATATAAGCAGCTGTCCCCCCCCCCTCCTCTATCTACCAAATTATTATTACTTTATATCCTCCTCTTTCTACTATTTATTCATAACACAGCAGATTCATTCCTTTCTGACCTTAATATCCCATCCTTTTGAACTAAAGCCTTCGAATGTTCCTTTATAGCCATCTTCATAAATCTCTTTTTCTAACATTTTTCTATCGAGCACATTTATGTTTATATCGATTCCAAGGCGATTAATTTTTTATCAGCATAAATAATATTCCAAGTGAAAATTTATGATTCATGATAAAATAATGTCGTAAGCTGATATATTAGTCCAATGAGGGGACCAAAGAATCTAGAAGAAGAGGAGCACAAAAAAAAAAAAAGTATAAAATATAACAATCTTGATAAAATATGGTTATGAGGCTGATTTATCGGTCAATGGGATCGACTGAAAAACATGGGATGACTGGGAACAATTTATACCCTAGTCCACAGGGTCCTCCCAGGAGAGGTGACCCTAGGGTGTGTAGTGTATGTGACCTTATGTCAGTGTATATGTATTGTGTACTGTTTGGTGTGTTTGTGCAGTGTACTGAACTCGGGAGACCGGGAGAGTGTTAATCTCCACTAGCCTTGCACATCAGCTAGTCCCTGTGGGCAGAAATTATCTCTTAAAGTATAATTGTTCGTGTAATTACATTTAAAAGGGCTTTAGGAATCCCTTAAACACCAGTTCATATAGGTAGTTAGTTTCTTTCTTGTTTTCCAAAGTAATTATCGTTATTTTTATGAAAAAAAAAGCTTTCGGGCTGAAGCCCCCCCAAAATTAAATCCTGGATCCGCTAATGGTCTATGTGATTTCTAACACTATTCGCATTCCAAAGGAGGATGGATATTGGTTTGATGGAAGTCATTTAAGGATTTTTTAAAGGAGTTATGAGGTGAGATACTAGGTTTGTAAGGAGTGATATCAGTGGGGTAACAAGGATTTAAATTTTGAAAGGAAGAATGTCAATAAACTGGTTAGATCTGTGGCATTAGGCAGTGGAGGAATTTGTTGGATTTGATATTGGGGTTGAATTTGTTCTTGCAGCAGGGCCTCATATTCATTAGTCGGGTCTCTACTTCCAAGTAACTTGGCAAAAGGAACTTTAGAGTTCACTATAGGTTTCTAAATAAAAAAGGTTGAGAGCAGATTAATTTTTTTTTCAAAGCTTTGGCTTTTAATATTTCTTCTTCAAACATTAGCTTCACTTTTTCTTGGTGTATTTTAAGCAGATTCACCTCCATTTCGAACTCCAATTTGATATGACCTAATTCTTTTTCCTGTTATAATTTTATATGAACTAATTCTGTTTCCTTTTCTAATTTAACACGATTTAACTCTTTTTCTTGTTGATATTTACATTTTAAGTCTTTTTCTTGTTCATATTTTATTGACGATATTTCTTCATCTTCCTGCTGAAATATCCAGTGTCGGTATAGTATTAGGGTCTATTATTAATGTAATTTGACTATCTTCTTCAGCTACTTGGCTTGCTGAAATATAATAATAAACAGAATTAATTTGATCATTTATTTGGTAATTTTAGACTGTTTTATATATTCATATAAGATTAGAATTTTGTATACCATTGACAGTCTCTATTATATTTTACAATTTTATTTGCAGAGTAACTTTCGGTGTCCGTGCACCATATTCATCTTTATAATTATAACACTTCAATTAGGATAAATTAATAGTTAATTAATGTCATTAACAATAAATGTATTACATAATCTTTTATTTGTCATGCAATTATTATCACTTCATGCCATACATTTTAATTTAAAATATTTATTCATTTAAACACAAAAATTTTAACCTAAAATCCTTTCAGAGTTGACGAAGAGATGAAGAATAAGAACACTGTTCTAATCCTTTATGTTTTTAAATAGAAAAAGGTATGGCATGGAGTGATAATAATGGCATGACAATTAATTGTTAATGTCATTAATTAACTATAAATGTATCCTAATTGAAGTGTTATAATTAAAGAGATGAATATGGTGCCCGGACACCGAAAGCTACACTGCAAATAAAGTTGTATGTTTACTTTAGTTCTTTCTTTGATGTGCTAATCAAAGTATGCTCACTCAAATGTCGTTAGTAGAGACTGGATCTGCATCAATAAAAAAAAAAAACTAGCAGCAGAAACCTCAAAATGTGCAAAATCGTGCAGTAAAAACCAAAAATATGTAAAGCTGAGTAATTCACAGCTAAAAACATGCAAAAATATTTGTTTAATATGATAGACTGTCAATAGTAAAAAAACTCATATTCAGAAGGAATTGACTCCAACTGGGGCTTAAGAAGGTCCAATAATTTTGCTTTAGATCCATCTATTTTATCTGGTGCAGAGGGCCCTCCTCCTATTTTTTAAAAATTTAGTATTTCTTTGACCGCACGACCTCCCCTCCTCCCCCCCGACCAACTCCTTCTCATATTATATCACGGTCAAGCATCTCCACGTCAGGTCCGGAAAGATCACTATCCAAATTTGACTGTCCTTGCCCCTTCCCTAGCTCCATTCAAAGGCTTCTGTGTACTCGTATTTCCCTCTGGAATTTCCAGGGTATCGTTCTGACTGTTGTACTTACCCTGACCTTCATTGAAGTTATCTTTATTGCCATCAGCAACCCATAAGTAAACAATGCACCAAAAGGACCAAAGACACAGATTTTCCATTCAGGTAGGGTCAATACTCCATTCAGGCGGTGAATACTCCCAAACAAAAAAAGGTTTCGGGAATTTATATTACGTACAAAAATTACAAGTAATAATTAATGTAACAAAATACACTGAAACATAATTAAAATAACATATAAGTAAAACATGGAGAGTGTGGTAAAATACATATGTATATCTAAGCATTAGCTTAGTCATCTAGTCAACTTTTCCAATTTCCTTAATTGAGTTTAGTTTATATAATACTATTGTCCATGTGACAGATTGTTATAATTCTAAATAAATAAAGAAAAAAAAAGAGAGAAAAAAAAAGTTTATATAATTAGCACCCTCCTAAGATCTTATCATAAACATAATTATAATGTTATGTTTAATAAAATTAAACGTTTATGTATACATCATTTTGAGTTAGCAAATACCAACCTTTTAACATTATTCCAACATTTTTTAAGAGATTTATTTAATAAACCCCTTTTTTTTTCTTTTTTTTGCTCAGACATTGCTGTGCACCACGGCCTCAAAAAGGCCTATTGTGCGTCGTCCTAAACTCAGTTAAAACAGGCCAGATGCCTTCGCGAACCTATTGATGCATATGGGATCAATCAGTTCGCAGTGCTTGGGGTCCCTTACTGTCCAGAACTTTATTTTAAGTTTTTCATACTTTTTTTGTTTTATTTTGGAAAATATCTAAAGTAACACATAAATTAATATTTATTTAATAAATAACAGTATTCATTCATAAGGTTGTGTGAATATATCTCCATTTACATCTGTAAATTTAAGCGTATTCATTTTAATAAACGTGAATCAAGCCGTATTCACTTTTAAAGTAGTGAATACAGCCATATTTATATTTACAGCTGTGAATACGTATCATCTGTATTCATGTTTCTTTTTATGAATATAAATATATTCATATTTATATTCAAAAGTGCCATAAATATAAATTGTATTCGTATTTATATTTTTGAATACAAATATGTCCATCTCTGCCAACTATATAGTTAACATATTATTGATTTATTGAATTAATTGTTGGTCTATTTTCCAGTTTCCACTTATCCTTCTTGTTGCTATTGCTATGTTCTTCGCAAATCTGGTTACACCAAGTGGTATGTACATCAATTCTTTATGATTTCATATGATATTATTGACAAGTCTTATTTTCAGCAAGTCATATATTAAATTAATTAATTTATGACTTAATAATTCATCTGTGATTCTTAGTGTAAGGATTTTTTGTGCTTGTGTGTAATTTATGTATAATCTGTTTCTTATCTAGATTATATGTGTGTACTGTATATGTGATTGTGTGTAATATATATTTATTTATGGGAATTAAAATGTTATCTTTTAACACATGTATGTTTACTTTAGTTCTTTCTTTGATGTGTTAATCAAAGTATGCTCACTCAAATGTCATTACTAGAGACTGGATCTGCATCAATAAAAAAAAAAAACTAGCAGCAGAAACCTCAAAATGTGCAAAATCGTGCAGTAAGAACCAAAAATATGTAAAGCTGAATAATTCACAGCTAAAAACATGCAAAAATATTTGTTTAATTTGTTATATTAATACATCGAAATCTGGTCAAACCTTGTGTTAAGCTTCTAAATTAAAATCATTTGTAACGAGAAAAAAAAAAATTAAAATGCCAAACTGAAAATGAAATTTCTTTAGAATGAAACTTTAGAATTACTCGATAATATGTATTTATGACTCTAAAATGTTCAAATATTATTGTTAATGCTGTTTTTCTAGATCAAAATATCGAAAAAATCTGACTTTTTTGGCTGTAAAAAGTTTTCCCTTGGTGGCCCGCGTTAGCAATTTTGTTTTTTACATGTCTAAACCCATATATACAAGTTTTTTGATCATTTATTTTTATTTTCCATTTTTCAAAATACTTGCAGAGTTTATGAATTGGGATTGTAATCTGTTAGTTATAGTATCGATTCTAAAAGAAGAGGTGTAAATAGCTGTATTATCTGCATATAAGGAGTATTCTATTGAAGGAATGGAAGGGAGGTCTGAGATGTATAGGCTGAATAGTGTAGGAGAAAGACAGGAGCCTTGAGGGAGACCTGCAGATAGGAAATGGATTGAGGAATGGTCATTCTTTATTGTAATGCAAAAGGATCTATTGTTGAGATATGAGTGAAGGAGGTGGATTATGTAAGGTGGGAATTTATATAATATGAGTTTATGGATAATACCCTCATGCCATACTGTGTCAAAAGCTTTTTATATGTCTAGGAGGAGCATACCGACGTGTTTCTTTTCATTGAACGCTTTGGTAATATAGTCGGTCAGTCTGGCTAGTTGGGCTATTGTTGAGTGCTGTTTTCTGAACCCGAATTGCTCGTTAGATATCAGGCTATTTTGAGATATATGGCTCAGGATTCTTTTTAGAAGTAGCTTTTCAAAAAGTTTTGAAATTATATTAAGTAGACTTATTGGTCTGTAACTACGAACATCTGCTGGGTCTTTGGCTTCGGAATCGTTATGATTTTTGCTGTTTTCCAAGCCGTCGGGAAATATCTAAAGTGAAGCATACAGTTATACGTCTTTGTTAGGAATAAAATAGCCTTTTTGCTTAATTTCTTAATGGCAATTGGAGGTATAGAGTCTGGACCGGGTGATTTTTTAGTTTTTAACTGCTTTATAACCTGTTTTCACCTCTTTGAATGAGATTGAAGGGAATGTATTTGGAACTGGTTCTTTGAGAAAGCTTTTTACGATTTAATGATAGTTCGATTGTGGTTGTTGGTGCCTAGATCAGCCGAAATATTAGATGCTAATGTGAAATAGTTTGCCATGGCTTCTGCCTTCTCTGTATTAGAATAGGCGAAATTGTTTGCTAGTTTGATTGGAGGGATATGGTGGGGACGATTTGTTAGAATTTTGTGTATTTTCCAAAATTGTTTACTACCAGGGGACAGTTCTCTAAGAGTTTCCTGCCACTTTAAGTTCCTCCAACTGTTTAAACGAATTTTTACGTAGGCATTTAATTTGTTAAAGAGACATTTATACTTTATGTTCCTGGTGAGCTGGTATTTTTTTCCGGAATTTATTTTTTATAAAAATAAAAAATTGTAGTTGGAGAGGTATGTTGTCGGGTTTGTATTGACAGGATACCTGTGGAATTGATTTTATCATGCCAGTTTTGACAGTCTCCATAAATTTATCGATGTTAAAATCTATATCGGAGGTTTTTATTATAACGGGGTTAATATCTAGATTTTTATCTATGATTTTCCGGAATTTTTCCCAATCAGCCAATTTGTAATACTCAGTTATCTGGGAAGCACAAAATTAAGGCCATTAACACCTGGGTTATACCAGCTCTGAGCTATAGCTTTGGTATAGTACAATGGTCCAATACCTGTCTACAGGAGATTGATCGTCTTGTAAGAACGACACTCACACAAGAGCGGTCTTACCATCCAACATCCTCCAAAGCCCGCCTGTATTTATCTAGAAAGAAAGGAGGTCGCGGACTTCTAAATATAGAGGAAGCATGTCGAAAGCAAGAGCTGGCGCTACGACGATATTTTCTATCAAAAACTATAGGGATTTACCTTACTATAACCAATATGGATTCAGGTCAAACGGCACTCAATTTGAACAAAACCGAAGATTTCACAGTTGTGTCTGAAAATGAAAGGCTGTCAGAATAAAAAAGCAAGGTGCTACATGGCAGATAACTACAGCCAATTGAATGAAGCCTCCATAGACAAAGAAAAATCTGTGGAATGGTTAGCGGCAGGAAGGCTATTCTCTGAAACAGAAGGCTTTGTAGTCGCCATTCAAGATCAGGTCATATAGGAGGCACGTTCTTAAAGACACTACAACATCTGATAAATGTCGACTTTGTTCAACGACGTACGAATCAATCCAACATATCACAGCTGGATGTCGAGTACTCGCTGGTACGGAGTATCTGCAGAGGCACAACAATGTGGCGAAAATATTCCACCAGACTCTGGCTATGAAACTTAACCTGTTGGATGAAAAAGTGCCATATTACAAATATAATCCAATAAGGCTGCTTCAGAAGGGTTCCATCAAGATGTATTGGGACGAATCTATAATAACGGATCATACAGTTCGTCACAACAGACCCGATATCCTTATTATGGATTTAGGAACAAAGAAGGCAAAGTTATTTGGTATCGCGGTTCCAAACGATAACAAAATAAGCACGACCGTGGGAGAGAAGCTCCGTAAGTACCAAGAACTTGCGATTGAATTAAAGCTGTTGTACCATTTGGAGAGCGTATTGGTTATACCAATACTATCAACCAATGGTCTGATCCCAAAGTCAACGGTGGCAGGTACGGACGGCTTGGAATTACCCCTGGATGTATTAAAAGAGGCTCAGCAAGCAGTTCTCTTGGATACAGCCAGAATTACAAGAAAATTTTTAAATATCTAAAAATATTATAACTTGTGGGGACTTGTCCCCCACCTTCAGCTTTGAATCCGCAAAGGTGAGAATAAAAAAGATAATAATAAATATCTGTATGGATATTTATAAATATCTGTATAGTATGGATCGATTATAAAAAGGCCTTTGACTCGGTTCCCCACAACTGGCTACTTAAAGTACTAGATATATACAAGGTTGAATCTAAAGTAAGCAGGCTCCTTTCAAACTTAATGACAGGATGGAAAACTAAGCTGAAAGTTGGAACTATCTGCACAGGGAATCAAATTAAAATATTGAGAGGAATATACCAAGTAGATTGTCTAAGCCCCTTATGGTTCTGTATGTCTTTGTTCCCACTAAGAAGGATTCTTCGATGGGATACAATCATCAATTAATCATCAACGACAAAGCCACCACAGTCAGCCACAGCTGGTACATGGATGACCTTAAACTATATGCGAAAAACAAAGACCAATTACAAAGTATGGTTGAAGCCGTTTCATCTTTTAGTAGTGATATAGGCATGTCACTCGGTCTGGATAAATGTGCGGTGCTCCATGTAACCAAAGGAAAAGTGGTTAGTATGCAGAATATTCTAATCAATGAAAAAGAGTACATCAGGGAGCTTGAATACAATAGGTTATATAAATATCTGGGAATGCAGCAACATCTTAAAATTGCAAGAAAAGACATGCAACAAGACCTTCTGACAATGTTTAAAATTAGATTGTGGAAAGTGCTCAAAACCCATCTAACCGGGAAACAAAAAATCAAGGCTATTAACACCTGGGCAATACCTGCTCTCGGTTATAGTTTCGGCATATTCCACTGGTCAAACACTAGCCTACAGGAGATCGACCGCCTTGTGCGAACAACTCTCACACAAGAACGGGCCCACCATCCAATATCCTCCAAAGCTCGTCTGTATTTGCCTAGGAAAGAAGGAGGACCTGGTTTGCTAAATATCGAAGAAGCTTTGCCGCAAGCAGGAAGCGGCCCTACGCTGATACTTTCTTACAAAAACAACTGAAGTTTACCTCACAATCTTAAGATTGGATTATGGTCTAACCGCACTCAACCTGAGCAATCGTGAGGTCTCTACAATCGTGTCAGAAAATGAACACTTGACAGAATGGAAAAATAAATCTCTGCATGGAAGATTCTACAGTAAATTAAATGATAGCTCGATTGACAAGGAAATATCCATTGAATGGCTGAAAGCTGGAAAGATATTCTCCGAGACAGAAGGATTTCTGCTCGCCATCCAAGACCAAGTTATTGCTACTAGATCATATAGAAGGCATGTTCTTAAAGACGCAACAACTACGGATAAATGTCGATTATGCTCAGCGAAGCTGGAATCAATCCAACATGTCACAGGTGGGTGTGGAGTGTTGGCTGGCACCGAGTATCTCCAGAGGCATAACAATGTGGCTAGAATTTTTCATCAGGCTCTGGCGGTGAAGTTCAACTTGTTAGATGACAAAACTCCATATTATAAGTACCACCCAAATAAACTCCTCCAAAAAGGTAGTCTCAAGCTATACTGGGATGAATCGATTATAACTGACCATACTGTGCATCACAATAAACCAGACATCCTTCTGATAGACATGAGAGAGAAAAGAGCAGAGCTTATTGATATCGGGATCCCCTATGATAATAATATAAGCTCCACT